CTGCCTTCCTTCCTTAAATAAGGGCAATAATTGCCACCTGTTTATCAAAGAATGAATGACCTCACTAATAGAACTCCACACTGCTATTATTTTGGAACATTCCCCTTTCAGATGAGTGAGTTCATGACACAAGAATCAGCAGCATGCATGTCATGACTGTTGGGTCTGTTGGATTTCTATTACTCTACTACACCTGCTAGGAAAAATTTATTTGCCATGTAGAAATATCATTTCTACAAAACAGTGATTGATCGGTTAGTGATGTCTGACTACTATTATTTTGTATCATAACAGTATTTATACTGTATTATATATATATATATATATATATATATACCAGACCTGGCAACCTACCCTGTAAAATAATTGCTAAGAGAATTCATGGAAAAAGGTCACTTAATTCTCTGCAATCCCCAAGGGTCGGATACGACTGAATGGTATATATATATATATATATATATATATCTTCTGTATTGTGCAGTGAGTCTATACAATATTTACTAATGCCATCAAGCTATAGTTATTATTTTAGAAAAAACATTGAAGACCGCCATTGGACGGTTGTCTCTGACGCACGGCATCGTTATTTTAAGTTCATTTTTTTAGTTCAGCAAAACAACTTCCTCACCCCTGGAATGCGTCTTTGTGCTTTGGAGATGGACTTTGCAGTACATTTTAGTCATATCGTCCCGATTTTTCCAGCGATTAATAATAGTCTATTGCCGCTGCACAAAAAATCATTGTCTTTGAAAAAACCTTCTAAAAAGGTTTTTTTGCTTTCGTGGAAGTGAACCATATTGGGCTGCTGCTGTATGTCAGCCAATGAACAATGTAACAGTACACTTAGTTTCTTATTACATGACATTTATATGAAGCCACAATATGGTGTCATTGGTGCCGTGCCCCAGAATCGGATTGTTCTGTAAAGCCATGTACAGCTCCATTTGAAGGATTTTTATTTTGTATTTTCAAAGCTTCCTTTAAGTCACCTGAAAAGACCTTCTCCCCATGGAATGATCATTTTCAAATCTTGTTTTTGTATTAGTACGTGTCACCCCGGCCACCGTCCAGCTCACCCTGCTCATTGTTTGAGGATACCTTGCCCCAGGGGTCGGACTGACCATTGGAGCACGGAGGGCACTGCCCGAGGGGCCCAGGGTCAGTAGGGGCCCCATGAAATGCCCCTGGTACCTTTTATAGTTTTTTTTTGGGTGTGCTTTGAGTGTGGGCAAGGACACAGGGGCCCCATGATCACCTATTGCCCGGGGGCCCCATGCGTTGTCAGTCCGCCCTGACCTCGCCTATTAACTTAGAAAATGGCCATTGCAATGTCTAAGATTTGGTTCATATTGATTTTCAATGGGGTTTAGATTCAGTATCCAAACTCTGATAATGTTCTCTGGGTCAAACTAAATCCCAGGTACGTTCGACTCAATCCCTAGTTACTGGTTGCTGGGGGACGCCTGAGAACATTGGTTCCTTAACAACCAGTAATCCTGGGGGGTGGGGTGGGGGGTGCTGTCATATCTAGTAGGTGTAGTATTATGGCTGCTAAATGTTTGACTGCCTCTGGCAACTGGAGGGTTTTTTTTGTTTTTTTTCTGTTAAATTTTCCTAACATGAAAAATAAATACACAATGATGTCTATTTATAGATATTGTCACACAATATTTACACATTTTTCTAATTGAATTTGATTGGAAAAATGTGTAAATCCTGTCTAGAAGTTGTATGACTATTGTGTGTGAAAATATTTATAAATGACAAGATTAAAGTAAAAAAAAAAAAAAAAAAAAACTTTGTTCCATCTCTTTAAAGGTTCCTTTCAAGTTTCTATTCAAATGTATATTTTTTTATTCTCTAACAAAGGAAAAAATCCCCCAAAAAAGAATACATTAACCACCTCAAGTCCGGACACTTTTACCCCCTTCCTGTCCAGGCCAATTTTCAGCTTTCAGCGCTATCACACTTTGAATGACAATTGCACGGTCATGCAACACTGTACCCATATGAATTTTTTTGCATTTGTTTGAGACAGATAAAGCTTTATTTTGGTGGTATTTATTTACCACTGGGGATTTTTTTTTTTTGCTATTTAACCATTAGCCGCCCGGCCAATGGCCGTTTGGCGGCTTGAAATGCGCTCCTAAATTCCGGGTGCAAATTTGGCGTGCTCCCGCACATGCGCAGTTTGCGGCACAGCAGAGCGGCGCAGCAGCGGGATCTGTCACGGGCCGTGCACCTCGGACACACGGCCGATGACAGATCCGAGTACCGGCTCCCGTAGCTGGTACCATGTGACCTGCTGTGAACAATCACAACAGGTCACATGATAGTTGTATACAATGGATGGCTTCATTCATGATGCCATCCATTGTATACTAGTGCCTAGCTGTGAATGGTCACAGCAGGTCACATGCACATGTCATGTGATTAGCTGTGACCAAATCACAGCTAAGCACAAAAAAAAAAAAAAAAAGCTGAATGAATCAATTTCATTCAGGTAAATGCTTGCTTATAGCAAAGTAATTCTTTGCTATAAGCAAACTGTGTATAAAAAAAAAAAAAAAAAAATACTGATCACTCCCCCAAAGTAGTACAATGTTACTATGGTAACATTGTACTACTTTGGTCATAGTAAAATATGAAAAAAAAATCTTTAAAAAAATGTAATAAAAAATTAAATATAATAAAAAATAAAAAAAAAAAAAAAAAATATATATATATATTTTTTTTTTCATACTGTCACCAGTCAGTGTCCATGTTCACCGCCATGCCAGTTATATGATGACGCTGTACTGCACTGGTGACAGTATGTAAAAAAAAAAAAATAGTGAAAATAATTTTTTTAATTTTTTCATTTTCCGAAAAAATTATGACAAAAAAATACAACTTCAAAAAACTCGCCATGCCTCTTATGAAGTACGTCGGACTGTCTACTCTGCAAAAAAGGGGTCATTTGGGGGATATCTGTACTGTTCTGACATTTGGGGGGGGGACATTTGGGGGATATCTGTACTGTCTGTACCTGACATTTGGGGGATATCTGTACTGTTCTGACATTCTTGGACCTCAAGAAATTAGATTGGCTGTCAGTACTTCAGGATTGATCAATATTCAGATCTATACCATAGTTTGTGAACTCTATAACTTTCCTACAGACTAAATAATACATCCTAATTTGGGTTATTGTCACCAAAGACATGTAGCAGAATACATCTCGGCCTAAATTTATGAAGAACAATTATTTATTTGTAAACTTTTTATAACAGAAACAAAGAAAAATGTGTTTTTTTTTCAAAATTTTTGGTCTTTTTTTGTTAATTTAGCAAAAAATAAAAAACCCCAGAGGTGATTAAATATGACCAAAAGAAAGCTCTAGTTTGTGTGAAGAAAATGATAAAATTTTAGTTTGGGTACAATGTTGTATGACCGCGCAATTGTCATTCAAAGTGTGAGAGCGCTGAAACCTGAAAAAATGGCCTGGGCAGGAAGGTGTAAAATCACACGGTATTGAAACGGTTAAATGAAAAAGTCCAGAACTTTGGAAAAAAAGTTTTTTCTTATAAAATTTAGCAAATAAAGAATATTTCATCGTAAATCTTGGCCAAATGCTATTCAGTTATTGTTTTAGTAAAAAATAAAAAATAACCCTAAAATTAGTTTATAACCAAAAATTATAAATTTCTAAAAAAATCTTTTTACATTTTTATTTTTTATATTATTATTTATGTTTTGTTTTTTTTTTCATACTGTCACCCTAGCAGTACAGTATCACCATAGTGACGCTGTACTACTTGTGGGGGGGGTGATGAAGATTTTTTTTTTTGTCCCTCTGCCCTTGGAGACACTAGTATAAAGTCCTCCTCAGAGTCCCTGTGTAGCAGGTTCTTGATTTTCTGGGGTTGGGGAGAGTTTTTTTTCTGGAAGAAGCTCTGTCTTTTCCAAAAAAGATTTTTTTTTAGAAAAAAAGCAGACATAACAATACATATACAGACGTGAATCCAAAGTCGGACATGTCACTGTATGTCGCCTCCCGTGTCACATTACCACATTGGCATCACCAGCAAGGCTCCCACTTGCCATTCATTACACATCTGCATCAGAGGTTGGTCATTAGCTCTGAGGAAAGGGATTCGTCCCGAAAACGCAGCGTCAGCCATTTGACCGCACTGACAGTGAGAACACCTCGCCTGCCGGTGTGGCCATCTTCATTTTTCTATGCTTTTTAGATACATGCTTCGTCTGTGAGTATGTTTTTATTATTTTTTCACTCCTTACAATAAACCTTGGATAATGCACTAGGTGTGTGCGCCTCCTGTTTTCTCTCTATACAGACGGGTCAAAGCATAACAGGCAATACAAAACATAAAGTAGAGTAGTGTGGTGATAAAGGTAAGTATATAGAAAGGAAAGGAAGAGGGAAGAGAGAGAGAAGAAAAAAAAAAAGGGGGGGGGGGTGGGAATGGGTTGGGAAGGGTGGGCTTAGGGTGAGGTAAAATGGAAAGAGGAATGTATGCTTGCGGATAGGCGGCTCTCAACATGTTAAATGAGCCACATTAAATATATCTACTTATAGCTTAAGACGTGATGCGTATCAACACAGTCAACCGGGTAATATGCGGATACAAGGGGGTAAGCCTTGGTGAAAAGACTAAGGTATGTCTAGGCCAGTGTTTCTCAAACTCCAGTCCTCATGGACCCCCAACAGGTCATGTTTTCAGGATTTCCATTATTTTGCACAGGTGATTTGATCAGTTTCACTGCCTTAGTAATTACCACAGCTGTTTCATCTGAGGGAAATCCTGAAAACATGACCTGTTGGGGGTCCATGAGGACTGGAGTTGAGAAACACTGGTCTAGGCATATATCCAGAGGTATCTCAAAAAAGAGGTTATTCCCCAGTGTCAGAATATGTCTAGTCAATCATTACTGCACTAGTAGGTGGTAAGTAGGGGTGGTTTTAAAGTGCCTCCAACAGGCAAGAAGCTCTGTCTTGTTTTAACCTCTTCCCGACCGGCCGTTGCATATAAACGGCCGGACGGTGGCACTGCAGGGTCGGGTGGCCGTTTATATACGGCCTTCCCGCACTCTGCTTGTGAGCGCTCCCTGGGATCCGGTGCCCGCTGTGTCCTCCGGACACAGTGAAACACCGATCGTCGGATGGGACCTCTGTACGAGGTCCCGATCATGTGATCACTGATTGGCCAATCAGTGATCACATGCAAAGTAGTAAGCAAGATGTCAATTCTGACATCATTGCTTACTACGTGTGAAATCTGTGAATGATCACAGAGGTCACATGGTATTCACAAAAGCCTTGTACCGTGTGACAAGCTGTGACCAATCACAGCTCACTCAGTACTTCTCAATGAGTGCAAGAATGCTCACAGAGAGAAAGAGAAATGATTGCTTTTACATCCTATATGGGTGTAAAAGCAATCAGTGTAAAAAAAAAAAAAAAAACTTCATCACCCCCCACAAGTAGTACAGTGTCACCATGGTGACAATGTACTGCTAGGTGACAGTATGTAAAAAAAAATTAAAAAAATTAAAAATAATAATATAAAAAAATAAAATAAAAATGTAAAAAAAAATGTTTAAAAATTATAATTTTTGGTTATAAACTAATTTTGATTTTTTTTTTTTTTACTAAAAAGATAACAAAATAAATTTTGGCTAAGATTTATGATGAAATATATATTTATTTGCAAAATTTTTATAAAAAAAACACTTTTATTCAAAATTTTTGGATATTTCATTTACATAGCAAAAAAAATACAAATCCCAGTGGTGAATAAATACCACCAAAATAAAGCTTTATCTGTCTCAAAAAAATGGTAAAAAATTCATTTGGGTACAGTGTTGTATGACTGCGCAATTGTCATTCAAAGTGTGATAGTGCTAAAAGCTGAAAATTGCCCTGGTCAGGAAGGGGGTAAAAGTGTCCGGTCTGGAAGTGGTTAAAGTGGCTACATCTTGAGCAAATTCCCTCAGTGCAGATTGCAATGAGGGAGCTAAGGCTGGCACTGTTCATACTTTTTGGTCACTGCTACAGTTACATCTGCTTTTTCTTGCTCTCAGGCAACCACATCCTCCACTGCCTCACAGGAAGTTGTTGCAGTCTGTGCTTTGACCTTCTTGTGTAATGCTCTCTGGCCTGGACCAGGCTTCAGGTCTTTGATGAACTGATCCCTCAGCATGTAATCAGAGTAAGTTATGTCAGTGCAACCATGCACGTCCCACTTCTCTAGGGCACCTCCAGAGGTTCTGCATAGCCACTGTGCAATAGGTGATGTTCTCATCCTCTTGTTGTCTCTTGCTGAAAAACCTCCATATCACCTCAGGCAATGGTGTCTTCTCCCCAAAGATGTTGGAAAATCTGTTCCACAGTGGCCTATTCCACCTCTGGCAGAAACATAAACCACCTCGTGTGAATTCTTCTCTAAATCGTTAATAGCCAGCTCCACCACGGACTTGGCCGGGACCTGATATAGGCACTCTCCAGTCTCTTCTTCCATTTTGTTAACAGGATATTAAAGCCAATAAACTTAAGTGGAGCCATACTGTAGCCCAGTCCTCCTTCTGCACCCGGTGCAAGGGACATATCCTGCCAGCTGCCACCAAGTGTGGGAAGGTGTAGCTTGGTTTGGGTAATAAATACTCAGAGTCCAGTAGCAATAAAACTTTGAACTTGTATTGAACAGAATGCCAACGTTACAAACACCTTGGCGGGAGGGTGCCACTAGGGAAATAACCCACAGTTCAATGCAGTCAGATACTGACAGCATTTGGTTCAGAAGGTGAAGTGCAGCCTGGCCAGTCCAGTCCCAAAAAGCTCTTTTCGAGGATAGCGAATCCCTAGCCTGTCTGTCACGATCAGGGGTCATGCTCAAAGACCAGTTGCTATAGCAGTGGAAAGGCTTACCTGAAACCAGCAGGATAGGTACACAGGCAGGTCACCATGGCAGAGGAGTGGGATCACTCGAGGTGCAGAGTCTAAATACCAACCGGTATTCACCAAAGCTCCTAATGGTGGAGATGGATTTGGCTGCGTGTTAGCACCCAGGTTGCGGTCCTCGGGATCACCCCATCAAGAGGTGAGCAAGCGGAGGTCCAGTAGCGTATAAACAGGTAAGGATCAAATGGAAGCGTTGTCAATAAACAAGCTAAGTTCAGTAAGGAGCAGTTGTAGGTTGGGATCAGGCAGAAGCGTAGTCAAGAACAAGCCGAGGGTCAATAACGAGTGATAGCAAAATACGGATAACAGCAAAGATTATAAGGAGCACGATATTAGCTGGCGAGCACAATAATCTGGCAGACAGGAAGTGCAGAGACATGGCTTATATCAGGAAGTTCATGAGAGGAGCAATGGGTTCAATGTTCATGATAAACAAGGTCAAGGTAGGATTATCCAAATACTTGTCAAGGGAGCTGTCCAGCATTCCAGGTGGCTCAGCAAGAAGAAACATTGCCACTCACCGCAGAAGGCCCAGGTTTGGACCCAGGCTCTGACAGTACTCCCGTCCTCACAGGACGTCCCCTGGACATCTTAGGAACAGACTTGCGGAGAAACCTCTGGTGAAATTCTCTTGTTAATTTAGGAGCATGAACATTTTCCTCAGGCTCCCAAGAATTTTCCTCTAGCCCATATCCTTCCCATTGGACAAGATATTGCAATTTTCCTCTAAACATCCTATAGTCAAAAATCTTCTCCACCACATATTCTTCTTCACCCTGTACCTCAACAGGTGGAGGAGGTGGAAGAATTCTTCCAGAGAAAGGATTTTCATGAAATGGTTTTGAAAAGTGATACATGAAAAACAGAGTGAATCTTCATACTGTCAGGAAGTTTTAAGCGAAAGGTGACTGGGTTGATCTGAGCAGAAATCTGGAAAGGTCCCACAAACGTTTGGTCCAGCTTAGCAGATGGAACATGAACCTTCAGATGTTTGGTTGATAGCCAAACCTTGTCGCCCACATGAAAGATAGGAAGTGATCTGCGATGACTGTCGGCAGCCCTTTTATAACATTCCTGAGCCTCCCCCAAAGTCTCGATCAACTTTACCTGAATCTCCTGCAATGTAGTTAATCTGTTAGCAACAGCAGGAATTTGAGTTGCGAAAGGGAGATTAGGAATAAAAACTGGATGATATGGCGCTATGTTTATCATTGTTATAGGCAAACGCTACCGTAGGTAGATAGTCCACCCAGTCATCCTGAAGATAACTGACAAAACACCGAATGTACTGTTCCAAAGTTTAATTGGTCCTCTCGGTCTGACCATTAGACTGTGGATGAAAAGCAGAGGACAGGTTAACTGTTACCCCTAAAGCTGAACAAAAGCTTTTCCAAAATTTTGATGTAAACTGTACCCCTCTATCAGATACCACATCATCAGGAATTCCATGTAGTTTAAAAACATCTCAAACCATCAACTCCGCAGTTTGTTCAGTAGAAAGTACCCCTTAACCGGTAAAAAATGAGCCATCTTAGTAAGACGGTCAACTACCAAGATAGTGGTCATTTCTTTTGAGGGAGGTAATTCGACTACAAATTCCATAGAAATCAACCCCCAAGGTCTTGATGGAACAGGAAGTGGCTGGAGCAACCCCAAAGGAGAAGCTCAGGGTGTCTTATGATGTGCGAACATCAGACAGGAGGCCACGTAGCGTTTGATATCTTTCCTATACCTAGGCCACCAGAAGGAAAGTGACAAAAGTTCATCTGTCTTTGAAATCCCAAAATGTCCTGCAAGTTTAGAGTCATGAACTAATTTGAGGGCTTCCACCCGAGCAGACTCAGGTACATAGAGACGATGTGCTTGAGTTCAAAAGCCGTTCTTGTATTCAAGGCTAATGTCCTTAGGAGGATCATTGAGAAGTGGGTCATTCTCATACCCCTCTTTGAGAAGACTCAAAATGTCTTTGTACTTATGGCCCCTAGGAAGTTCTTTTGAGTTAGGATTGAACATTCAGAGTTTCCCTCCTGGGGAGGCTCAGACAGCATCCTTGATAAGGCATCGGCCTTACCATTCCTCGATCCAGGTCGATATGATATAATAAAATTGAATCTGGAAAAGAATAAAGACCAACGTGCTTGTCTAGAAGACAATCTCTTGGCAGAGTGAATGAATTCCAGATTTTTATGGTCAGTGAGAATTACAGGATGATTAGCTCCTTCTAGCAGATGCCTCCATTCATAAAAGGCTTCCTTAATTGCCAGTAACTCTTTATTCCCAATGTTGACATTCTTTTCGGCTGAGGACATCAAACGAGAGAAGTAGGTACAAGGATGAAGCTGCATTTTTTCATCACTTCGCTGAGACAGGATTGCTCCCATGGCAGAATTAGAAGCATCCACTTCCACTATAAAGGATAGTTTAAGATCGGTATGTTACAAAATTGGTGCAGAAGTGAAAAAGAGTTTTTAGCTTTCCAAACGCAGCCTGTGCCTCAGGGGTCCACACGAAGGGTACCCCTTTCTTTGTCAGCTGTGTAATTGGAGCTATCACTCTAGAAAAGTTTCATATAAATTTTCTGTAGAAGTTGGCAAACCCAACGAAATGTTGAATTTCCTTAACATTTCCAGGGGCTGACCAGTCTACCACTGCTCTGATCTTCTCGAGAACCATGCTCACTCCCTCTGGAGAAATGATATAGCCTAAGAACTGGATCTGAGTTTGTTCAAACTCACATTTCTCCAATTTAATGTAAAGTCTATTCTTCCTTAATCTTTCAAAGACAGTGCAAACATGTTTGTGGTGCTCCTCCCAATTATCGGAAAAGATAAGAATGTCATCCAGATAAGCAATTACAAATTGGTCCAACAGATCACGAAAAAAATTGTTGATAAAATGCTGAAAAGTTGCAGGGGCGTTGCAAAGTCCAAACGGCATAACCAAGGACTCGAAATGCTCATACCTGGTTCTAAAGGCGGTTTTCCATTTGTCTCCTTGACGAATGCGGTCAAGGTTATATGCCCCTCATAGATCAAGCTTTGTAAAGATCTTGGCAGAACGAAGTCTTTCCAACATTTCAGAGATCAAGGGTAGTGGATAGCGGTTTTTAATCGTGATTGTATTAATGTCTCTGTAGTGAATGCATGGACGTAAGGTGGAGTATTTTCTTTTCAACAAAGAACAGTGGTGCTCCTGCAGGAGATGTTGAGTGTCTAATAAAGCCCTTCTCTAAATTCTCATCGAGCACTTTTAATTCAGGTTCCAACAGATTGAAAAGGCACTTTTAATTCAGGTTCCAACAGATTGAAAAAGCACTTTTAATTCAGGTTCCAAGAGATTGA